AGAGAGAGAGAGAGAGAGAGAGAGAGGAGAGAGAGAGAGAGAGAGAGAGAGAGAGAGAGAGAGAGAGAGTCAGAGAGAGAGAGAGAGAGTCAGAGAGAGAGTCAGAGAGAGAGAGGGAGAGAGAGGGAGAGAGAGTCAGAGAGCTTGGCAGGAAGTTCAGGCGCAACATATGCAGTCCAGTACGCAACATATGCAACACAATACACTATCGATGCAATATAATGCACTGTAGACTACAGAACATCTCCCGCAGATTATAAACTCATTGCAATACACTACAGACTCTGCAACACGCCCCAATAGGCACAACACAATACATAATACATTCCACAATTAACGTCTATACTGGCACAATACAATACTCAAACTACAAGACTTTATGATACATCTTTGTAAGTGATGTATATAGACACTATGCTGGAAACGGTACACAGTTTACGGTTTACACACACACATACTATGAATACTCACAGTAAAAACCTCCCACGTAAACATATTTGATGTTTCATTATATCAAACTTTTTTTTTCTTATTTCTGGTTTTGATTGCTCAATTTTTTATTAATAAATTCGCATAAAATATTTGTGTACGAGGTAATATAATTTACATAAACCAAAATATTTTTTTCATGGTCTTTATTAATTTAATTTCAACATTTTAATGGCATGTGAATAAATTTTAAGTTTGATATATATATATATATATATATATATATATATATATATATATATATATATATATATATATATATATATATATATATATATGAAAGCACACACAGTATAATATTACAAAAACATTTGGTAAGACTAAAATAATATGGAGGATTATGATATTTAAAGAATATGAGTAATATATAAAGTGATGCTACAAATCGAAAATAAAGTACGACATTTTAGACATTTTTTAATGGTTGCATTGTTGGAGATCAATGATGTTTTGAACATTTTTACCTGTAATATGCAATGGTAATATGGCATAATAATAATAATAATAATAATAATAATAATAATAATAATAATAATAATAATAATAATAATATGAGTTGTTAAGAGTATTGTGTGTTAACTACCACCCATAGCATGGGTATGGGGTGCATAGTAAATTAACTAAAAAAAATTATTTTCTTTGTATTCAAATAACACGTTGGCGGTGTTTCAGTAGCTGGATTAATGAGCATTTGGCCTTTGTTGATGAGGACAGGCTGCTGATCAGTATCCCATAACGTTCACGCTTGCTACGGGCTCACAGTTGTAAGCCTGGTGAAGCAGTGGAACTTTTGTTCAGAGTAGCTGAATTTAAAACAACGTTCAGGCTCATGAGGCTTGTCTCAAATTGTATGTGCGAGAATCAGTTTATAATGCAGTCAGCATATCATAGACCTGCTTCATGTTTTATCAGTTGAAATGAGTTAAAGCGTTGTATTCGTTCTCAGCAAACTCACCACCAGACCTTCGACCTGGATAATAATTGAATTGAATTGAAATTGAAATAAGTTTATTGAGGTAAAATACACACAAAGGGATGAGGTAGCTCAAGCTATTCTCACCCCATTCAGTACAACGTGTTAATATATACATATACACACATCACAAATAAACATATTACCAAACATTCTGAGAGGTAAACATATACATTTCCTCCTTCACAAGTAGTATGTTATCAGACGTACACAGAAATACTTTTATGTGGATGATAAGCTCAAGTTATTTTTGTGATGTAATTTAAATTTATAATTACTAGTGAATCGATCTTCTACCTACTGATGAGTTGCAGCCTAAACGAAAAGGCCAATATCATTAATATTGTATATATAGCAAGATGTTTGAAGTCTCATGAATGACACTGGTTTTATTTAAAAAATTGTGTTAATAATAAGGTTTCACTTGATTGGTTTAATTAGCAATCAAAAGAGGATCTGGGCTTTCAACGAAGGAAAAGTGATGGTTCAACCGCTGAAGTATTATCATTTTGAGGAATATAAATAATATGTAATATAGTTAATTCCTGCAAACATATGAAGACCTTTTGCTTATTCTTTTTTAACACAAGACAGTAACACTGATACATATTGTATAACAATTGTAGTGTGAATTTTACATTCCTGCAATGATTAATTGAATTATCCAGTGAAGCATTTCGTCTGAAGGCTACAGGAATAGCAAGACAGGAAGGCAGGTAAGATTAAGTAGTGTTAAGGTCTGGACTGTGCACTGTTTGCTCAGGAAACTGTAATTACCAGTCCTACTATGCAATATTCATGGGGTAGAAGCACTTACATCATTCGTGAATAACTGGCACTACCTATGCTCCACGAATACATAATTCGTGTAGCATGGATACGACCCAGTGGTTGACGAATAACGTCTGTCCTGGTGAAGCAGGTCACTAAATGGTTGTGGTGTCCTGCAGGAGGGCGAGGGCCGGTGGTACGACCTGGATGCAGAGAGAGTGATGGAGAATGGAGAGGTGAAGGGCACTGCGAATCCAACAGGAGACTCTTTGCTGCTTGAATGCCGCTTTGAGTTACCATGGGGTATGTATTCGTACTTAAGCTTGGGTGGGGGAAATTAACGCCGCGTTTCTCCTGAAGCCTATCATTTTGCATGTTAACATTTACTGGTAAATGGAGCTTATATTTGTTAGGATGTCTTTTTGTTGGTTGGGGGAGTATTGCATTACTGAGTGGATCATTGATATGTGAGAGTGAATGATACATATCAATGATATGTGAGAGTGAATGAAACATATCAATGATATGTGAGAGTGAATGATAAATATCAATGATATGTGAGAGTGAATGATACACATTAAGTACTTTTCTCTTTGCTTTTATGAATATGGTTATTAGACAGTCAGTAAGTTCATTTATTATGTACCTCACACCCATCCTATGGGTGGAAGTGAAAAAAGGTTAGAGGCACATATTGGGCTCAAAACTGAACCCCAAAATCCTTTAGCTAAGCAAATTACAGTCTGGATACCATAGTTATACAGTCTAATATATGTATCGACAATGAGTTCAAGAGCGACCACAAGTAGTCTCTGAAGCTAATCAGCTTACGTATGTGGTGAGCTAGTTTAATAAATTTATTTGCTTATTATGCACCGCCCCCCCCCCCGCACCCCCCCACCCCCCCCCCCCCCCCCCCCCCCCCCCCCTTCCTCTTCCAGTGGACCACGGTGGAAAGGTTACAATCACCCAACTATCCCAAGTTAGCAAACTTGGAATATTAGGGTAAAAGTTCTGGTAATAGATAATTCTGAATGAATTTTTTACATATTTCTCGAGTTTTTGGGTACAGACAATGTCCCTAAATTAATTTATCTTTTCGTACCCCATCACATATAGAGTGACGCAGTGTGCGAATAATTTTGCTGACAATTTACATTTGGTCAGGTGTAGTATCAGCGAGTAATGCTGATGTAGACCCAGATATAATAATGCGTTCTGTCAGGGGACAGGCAGGCTGTGTATGTACATACATTCGGGCTAGCATGAAGATCCGTCCCACCCCCTGGCCAAAGTCAAACTCCTGACCCCTCCCTTCCCCTTTCCCTTCCCTTCTACAACTGTTGACTAACTCCCAGGTACCTTTTTTTTTTGTTTATTGCTAGACGAACAGAGGCATTAGGTGATAGAACACGTGCCCAACCGTTTCTGCCCCACCTGCGGGGTCCAGATTGTGAATCGAGTATGAACCCAACTGTACTGCCAAGATCCTGATCGAATCTAAGCCGAATAGTAGCAACATCTATACTGTATATGAGTGTATTGATTTGTATTACTTGATCTATATTTTGGGGGGAGGCGATTGATCCTCGTGCTAAGTTAAATTTTTATTTTATAAGTAAATTTTAGTAATATAATTGTAAGTAGTTAATAAGGAAACTATAAGGCTTACAATAAGTGCCAATATAATTGTAAGTAGAGAAAAGTAAATTATTAGGCTTACAATAAATGGCATTATAAATTAATTAACTGTTCTAAATTAATTGTCTAACCGTAACTTATGGATAACTTTAATTTTTGTGCGAGACGGTGACCAAACATAGGCGATATAAATCTTATTAATTTAAATAAAATAATTGCAACGGCAAGTTGCATGGTAATTTGCAACTGAATCCGAAGCTGCTGGAATTTATTGCAGCTTGGCGGTTGCTAGAAAGTTGCCACTGCAACTTGAGTTTAAAATAAGTGACCTTAATACCTATACTTGTATACCTATAGTCTACGGGGGCGGTACATGCACCCGGACATAGTAGTAGGTAAATAAAGTACTGTATACAAGTTTAGACAATTCATGCCAAAATTATAAATGGTACACTGAACAATTAATAACGAAGGATGCATATCGCCTATGCGCGTGAACCTAAATATTTAACATTACTAATTACCCACTTAGTTTTTTTAAGTAATTAGGCTGGTTAGAACTAGCCTCATTAACAGTAGCACAACAGGTAAGACAATATGTAAGTTATTAACTTCATTATAATAACAAGTAAAATATGCCGCAGGAATGTTCATACAGCTTAGAAAAGCCTAGTGTTATGTTGAGCGCCCTCGTAAGTGATTTATGTCTAGTTTCTGGTTTAGATTTAGATTTTTTTATTCAGGTAAAGGTCCATACATTGAGTTACATACATAATGTTGGATTTAAAGATAGAGGTAGTACATACAATACCTAAAGCCACTAGTACGCATAGCGTTTTGTTTCAGGTTTCTGAGTGAGTTTCTGGGGCCAGATTCACGAAACACTTACGCAAGCACTTACGAACGTATACATCTTTACTCAATCTTTAACGGCTTTGGTTACATTTATTAAACAGTTTACAAGCATGAAAACTTCCCATTCAACTGTTGTTATTGTTATAAACAGCCTCCTGGTGCTTCTGAGCTCATTAACTGTTTAATAATTGGAAACAAAGCCGCCAAAGATTGAGAAAAGATGTACAGGTTCATAAGTGCTTTCGTGAATCTGCCCCTGTTTACAATTGTGTCTAAACGTTGAGCGCAATTAAGGGTGGTAATTAACTTATATAGTTATTGAATCACATGAACATTTCAGGGAAATTTGACATTTGAATTTGAAAATTAAGTTACAAAGTTCTAGTTTCTGTATCCGAGTGAGTTGCTGAGTTTCTGTAGTGAGTGGCGAAGGTATATTCCCTCACCCCCTCCCTACACCACTTAAATTTTTGTTTGAAACTTCAACTAAATATTTGTTCTTACAAAGTTAAAGAAACAAAAATGTGGAAAGTTCGAGAAAATTAACAATAACATTCTAGTTTCCATATTTTGCGGGTAGCTAAGGAAGGCGAAGTGTGGCGGATTCTTAACTGTGGGTAATTTCATCTTAGCCGTGCCACCTCTTGGGTGGCTTAATCATTATCAATCAATCTCATCTGAAGATCAGTACATACTAGTCCAACCTTGACGACGAGCGGGAGTCTCTTGACCTGCTCTGCCTGGCTAATATATAGAGGTCCCTACCCTTCCCCCCCCCCCTCCTCCAGGTCGAATTACTGATGTAACCCCCTCAACAAGCGGACTAAATTTTGGGTACCTATTTACTGGTAGGTGAACAGAGGCTTTAGGTGATAGGAAACACAGCCAACCGCCCGGGATTCGGAATTCTGGAACCCGACTGTACTACCGGGACCCATGTTCAATTACACAGTTACAGGACGCCTAATGTCTTATTGTCTGGGATCATTGGGTGTCTGTAGTGTTCCCGTTGGTTATCTGAGTGGGATGGGGGCTCAGTTGCTCGCTTTGGAAAACTGTAGCTAGGGGGATGCTAAGGATTTGCTTGACTGTGTGCATCTGCCCGCTGGGCGGAAGCTATCCAACAACAGGCAACGATTAGGTAACATTGAACATCTGTTTCAAGCCGAACAAGCCACAATATAGGACTGAGAACAGGAGATGCTTGTTCACCCACAGGGTTATTAACCCATGGAGCCGCCTACCCGCCAAAGCTGTAAATGCCAAACTGTTAACTTTTAAATTACAGCTACAGCTGGAAAAGATCATCAAGGCATATGGGGGCGAGGAGACCTTCGACAAGCTGCCAGCTTCCTGTCCACGTCGAGGCCACTAGTGTTAGTGGGTCTCAAATAAACTCGAGTAAACAGGATTACGATTACAATTATTTATATGTTGATATAAAATTTTGCTACAATGTACCTTTTCAACTCGCCAGATATGTTAGACTAAGGACCTGCCTGAAACGCTTAGTGGCTTTGCAAGAATGTAAAAATACCAATCTTATGTAATCTAACAAACTCAATGTACCTTCTTGTGAATAAATTATTACTATTATTATTATTATTATCATTATTATTACTTTTTATTATTATAGGCTTTGCATTTTTACCTGAAGGAAACAGGGCAAACTATGTGCAGTCAAAGCTCCTAAATCCCCACTGAAATTTCAAGCCTCCTCGTTTCTCATCCAAATCCTCTTTAAGAATTTCAACTCCTCATCCTTCTTCATCCTCCTCCCCCCCCTATATAAATTATAAAATATACAATTTTAATACTATTTGAGTATCCCCTAGAATTTCATTTACATAAAACCAGCTACATAGTCTCCCCAGCTTGGTGCCTTCTTTTCATAATTACTGTACTTGCTTACAGATAACCAAATTCCTCAGACCTTTCAAAGAAAATTAGCTAAGCATTTTTTTATATATTTTAAACCAATGGTTCATAATGCAATAAACTTATAACTTGAGAAAATTCTCTGTTTAAGACAAAGATTCACTTTCCAGTTTACAATTAGACTATTATTGGAACCATAATATGCTTTCAGACCATCACAGATATCTAGATAAATATCAGGTGTTTAACCAGGATGGGTGGCCAGTCATTAGTATCACTTTAACCTGAGAACGGCCTATTTCATGCTAAAACTGATGAATTAGCCCAAGCTTATAGGCTATGCTCAAAGAAGTTAATCATAACCTTGTATTGAATATGAGCGGCATGAGGACAATAATTCACGAAATACATTACTTACCAACAATACTGTACTTTATTTACCTGAAATGGTGAAATCTACAATATAGCTATTCTATATCTCTTATACTGTAATAAATTGTCATACTCCTGTATGTGCTACTAAAACTTGGCTTAGGAAATACAACAAGTATATTTTGGAAAGTTTGCAGCACCTCTGGATGTTGATTTGCCCTAACATGAAAAAATTAAAAGATTGCTTTATCACTAATGAGAAAATCAGTAGGAACCATGTGGATTCGAACCCACACACTGGGTACTTAGAATACTTCATCACAACATGGCCAAAAGCAATGCAGCCTGGGAGTTAGCTGAATCCTCTAGTAGTCCTGAGGCTGGAACTCCTAGACCACAGCCAGAGTACATGAGGGAAGAGGAAGCCTCACGACCCCTAGAGGATTCAGATGAATCACAGGTTCCTTGGACCATGTCGAGATGAAGTGGTCAAAGGTGTGTGTGCTTGGGAGTACCCAGTGTGCAGATTTGAATCTTCCTCATGGCTTCTACTTATTTTATCATGCATACATCACATTAATATGATTTCTTTGTGCTTGATCACTGTTGTTCAAGAAATATACCAATATTTCATGAAAATGTCATACCTGTAAAATCTATGCAAATTTTCCTAAGATTGCCTGCTGTAGGTAGTGCAGGGTATATCACATTTATTTATTTATTTGTTTATTTATATGCTTGAATGTACCTTGGGTTGTGAGAGTGAGAGTGGTGTTCTTACATTCTTGCAAAGCCACAACCTTGACAACCTTGCATAGCTTTTCTGGCAGATCCTTAACCTAACAGATAAAAATAAGAGTAATTAGAATATACATTAATTGTAGCAGATTTGAGTTCAACATAATGACTAAAATAAAAATTTATTGAATTAACTACACTGGTAATGTTGCATGCCTTTAGTACTGATGTACTTAATGTAATTAGTCCAACACAGTATTATGGACTAACCAATGGAATAAAGCCTTACAACATATATGTACAGTACTGTACTCATTACAGTATATTACTGCGTAACCATTTCATCACCTCCCACTGCAGACAAATATAAAAAAGAACCAAGCCTATTCTATAAATTCAGTAAAATGTCAGGTAAGGGATAAAATTCAGAGGTTGAAAATGGGAAATTGCTTCACAGAGAATGAAAAGGAAATGTGTGAAACACTAAATAAACAGTTCTAAAGAGTGTGTGTGTGCAATATTAAATTTTCAGAGAACCAGACACAATAAGAATTCTAAAGAACAACATTTAAATTCTCGTAAAGCCACTATATAGCAAGCCTAGTGTTTCGGGTAGGTCATTAATCCTAATATTCTCCCTGGAATACGACCCGCCAAATTGTGTAACAACCTGCTACCCATTCACTGCTGAGTGAACAGAGGCTACAGTTAAGGATTGGTTGCCAGTCAATCCTCCCCCGCCAGGGTACAAACCCAGGCCAAAGCACTTGCTAAGCGCCGGGCGAGTGCTTTACCACTGCACCACGGGAACTGTTACTTAGTCCCCGTGATGATTGATTGTGATGCCCTTCAACTTAGATGATTGTCATGCCCTTCAAGAAGACCGGGACACAAGAGTGTGGAGAGCACCACTTGGCAAATGGAATTTAATGAGAATACAATATGCCTTGTTATTGAATGTGGAATAGAAGAAAATTGACCACACACAACCTACAAATTATGTGAAAAATCTTTAACAAATTCTTATCAAGAAAGAGATCTAAGGGTTGTTCTAGATTGAAAACTATCACCTGATGACCACATAAAGAACATCGTGCAAGGAGCCTATGCTACACTTTCTAATTTCAGAATTGCTTTTAAATACTGTACTGTACATAAATGTTTAAAATACTAAAGAAATTGTTCACGATATTTGTGAGACCAAAGCTGGAATATGCAGAGGTTGTATGGTGTCCGTATCTTAAGAAGCACATCAACAAACTGGAAAAGGTGCAAAGACATGCAACTAAAATAGCTCCCAGAACTGAAGGACATGTAGGGGAGGAGGTTAGAGTCATTAAATATGCCAAAACTTGAAGATAGAAGAAAAAGAGGTGATATGATCACTACATTCAAAATATTAATGAGAAGGGAGAAGGGAATGATCAGGATATCCAGTGGATTTTCAACAAACTGACAGAGTAACACACACACATCATCCACTGCATGTCAGATTTGTATAGGGTAGAAATATGAACTGAGAAGATAAGATGGCCATAGACTTAGGGTTTCCAAAAATTTCCTGAGGATATAACCAAGACTTCTTGTTTAAATGTCTTTTATTTTATCCAAATTAACCCTTAGACAGCGGTTATCGTCAATTGCTGATTCACGGGGCAATGCCGTTATCATGATATGAAGATTTAACAAATTATTGACTGTGTTTTACATGTATGATGCAAATATGGATATAATAAATATATGTGGATGTATTGAAGACCCATGAAACCTTGACCCATGAAAAAATCCTACTACCATTTCATGGTGCAAATGCAGTTATCGTTGAGAATGTTACTAGGAAAATGCTGTCATCATTATATGATGATTTAAACATCGTTATATGATAATTTGTCGGGGTTTTACATGTGTGATGCAAATATGGATATAATAGCTCTCTGTGGATGTAAATAAAGAAAAACAAGTGATAAAACAATCGGCAAAACATCGGAGGTTAAAACAGGAAGTGTCAGCAAAGTCGAGCACCAGGCGTTGACAAGTGCCAGACGCAGCCTCACAGAGTGCCTTCACCCAGTGAAACGATAAATATTCACTTATTTTTGTGTTTTTCTTACACTCTGCATACACATTAATAATTTTATAATGAAAAATTATTTCTTGGAATTTTTTTAGTTTTTGTGAATAGGTGGGTTTGACCATTTCTCCATAGCTGCTGTCTAAGGGTTAATGCTATTTCCTATAACAAGAATGAAAATTCTCCTCAAATATCAAGGAAAAGGGTTGGACACATTTAACTTGTAAAATCCAACATGCTGCATAATGCCATACTGAAACAGTAAGTAATGGTGTGTGTTAAAAGCCTAAATTAAAAATTTCAGTACAGTATGTGATTTGAAAATACTGTATGTTTATTTTAGCATTTTAAAAATAAGTAAAGGTATACTATATTTAAATATCTGAGTGTCTGTCATTTGTCATGGCAGAATATCATGGAAGCACTGTAATCTGTAACTGATTTTAGTTTCCTGTATATTTCAAAGTTTAACAGTTTACTGTATTTGTATGAAATAAGACTATAGATGCTGTGTGATAGTTCTCCTGCAATGTATTAGCAATGTTATTGTGTGTCCCCCAAAATGAGTGCTTTTCATAATTTTAAGTATTGTTTACATCCAATTTGAGAGTTTTATATCATGTAAATGTGTTCTATAACTTGTGTTGAGCCTTATGTGATTGTTTCCTCTGGCAATCCATCCATTGGGAACACAGCAGCGGCTAAGAGACATCACATGTACTCTCTCTTTAACAATTCGTGATGAAGCATTGCTCTGTATGGGACAGACAGCATGCAAAAGCATTTTCTTTAACTTACTTATGTTTATTACACAATGTGTTACTGCCATGGTTATCCTTGATATTTAGTGCATGTCGACAAAATATTTTGTCTTAAATCTATTCACAAACAGGAAAAAATTATAGTGTATGATGGTACAGGATGCTAATACAGTACAGTATATCCATCACCTAATATCGGTAGTCTATAGGATTTCATGATATCAAGAAGATTCAGAGTAAACTTAATAAGAATTTTGCATGTTCAGAATCTAAACACTTTGTTTCCTTACCAGGCAAAAAGGCCAAAGAAAGGGCAAGGAAGAAAGGTACAGTACTGCTTCTTATAGAACATAAACTGCAGGCTTTTGTATGTGATCTGCATCAACACCTCCTTTCTAGATGTTTATATAGTTGTATTGCCAGACATGTTATGACTGCAACATGAGCGTAAACATACAAAATAGCTTAATTCACTTACCATAATCCTTTCTGTATATATATATATATATATATATATATATATATATATATATATAAACTTTATGATGCCGACAGGATTCACACTTGTGAGGCCAGGTATCATTCCATTGGTCACCACAGTACCATTACCACTCTTCCATTGAGTGCATGATGGTGGATAGGTATCGGTACTGTGGTGGCAAGTGGGATGATCCATAGCCTTGCAGGTTCAATTACTTTTACGATCATAGAGTTTATAATGATTTACAGCTTGAGGACCATTCAAGCATTGTTTTATATATACTGTGTATGTGTTATATATATATATATATATATATATATATATATATATATATATATATATATATATATATATATATATATATATATATATATATATATATATATATATATACTGTATATGTATATAACCAAAGAACTCTTCCTCATGAAGGATTCGAACCTTAGACAGCCTGGTGCATCAAACACAGTGGCGTATCCAATACGGTAACCGCTTGACCATGGACGACTGTACAAAAATGTTGGAAGCCGGGAGGCTTTTACACAACATCCAACAACGCATGCCATAGCCAAGAGATCACCAATCTCTTGAACAGGCTCATAAAACGGTTGTGTATGTGTATATATATATATATATATATATATATATATATATATATATATATATATATATATATATATATATATATATATATATATATATATATATATATATATATATATATTATGTATAAAGCTTGAATGGTCCCCAAGCTATATTTCTTCAACAGTAAACTCATTGATCCCTCAAGGGTTTGAGCCTAGGCTGCCTTGGTTCGAACCCATAAGGAGTCATTACATTTGTTTATTTATATATATATATATATATATAATAGTTACCATAACGTTTGAGTTGTATTTAGCATTTTGTATGTTGCACCTGCACTTGTTAATGCCAGACATGGCAACTATACATTTACACATGTTGGGAGGACAAACACGCACACTAGTCACAAGTGGTCTGCTGCATGAGTAGGATTTTATTTACAAATCCATTTGCAATTTTCATGTATATTCAAACATGGAAATTTTCAATTGTAGGCCCTCCCACTTAGCCTAGATGTTGTTCTGAGGTGATCTGGTCACTTTGGTGATGTTTGATATGCTCACAGCACCAGGGGAGGAAACCTGTATATCCTCCCAGCATGTACGGCAACTTGCATTCGCCTTTTGAATTTCTTTTAAGGTTCAGAAAATTTGTCTTACACTTAATCTTATGACTCTGTAAATCAGTTTGATTGTATTTAAACCAGGATAGGTTTTTATAGACTTGTAATAGAGTATTTTAAACTTTCAATTTTTTTTTTTTTTTTTTTTTTAATTTTTGGGTACACAGCTATGGTAGTTGAATCCAGTCTGCCAAATCCCTAAATAACTGTACATACTAGTAGCCAAACATCCCTTAAAAGGTGAATGTAAAGTTAATTTCATCTGTAAATTAATAAAAATCAGTTACCATATTTTGAGAGTTGTGGCTGGGGATAACTACTGCATCTGCTGCTCTGTCCGGATCTTTGCCTTAAATGGAAAGTGGCCTTATGTGCACTCAGCCTCTGTATACTGTAACGACACCACCACCGGGCTGTAAAAGGGACCCCCTCCCCCCCCACCACCCACTAGACTAGTACACGCCTGTTCAACTCTACGATGCTGCATAAACCTCAGAGATGGAAGTTTCGAGCACTGCAAGGATTATTTTATAAGCTGGATAGCGTAAAATTCTACCAGTAGATGGTGCTAGCGTACCCTTCTTTATAGTTCCTTTTTTATTCAATAGATTCCCCATTGCCATTATTTTCCCCTCTTTATGTCCGTACTCTTAATTACCATCATTTATCTTAGGCATCAATTCTTTCATTAGATGTCTTTGCTCTTTTATTATCTTCCTTTTTCCCTCAGAATGTTATTCCCCTATTTTTCATATCTTGGAAAGAAAAAAGATGCTTATCTTGTGCATATCACAAAGATACTTCTAGATATAACCAGGATCTGTGGTCCAGAAAGTATCACCAATAAAGAGGTTTATTGCACAGATGGCCTCTTTTATTCCCAAGGTCGTGTATGTCCACTTTTTTGTGGCTCTGCTTTCCCTTCCCATTTTCTCAGGGCACTGTGTTCTTCATGCTTGGCATGGCTCAGCACTTAAACATCATACATCCTCAGGCACAGTTTAAGACAGAATTTTAACCTTTCCTCAGCTGTTGTACATATTAGTAACCACAGTTTTGACAATACTGTAATATTGTACTTACTGTAAAAAGGCTTGATAATTATGGTAAATCAGTTTATACCACAGGTTGATAAAGCAATCCTATCAAAATTAGAAACTATACTCACTTATGGCATTATCAAGAGTGCACAAATGCAAAAAATATCAAATTGGATGCTGTTCCTGAGGATGATCCAGTTACTGCTATCAGGTGCTCCCTCGTCTGATAGTGGTGTTGCTGCTAATAGTGGCGTGAAGGGTGGTGGCATGGATCTGAGCGGTCCAGAGGTGTCCTTGCCAATATATGGTGGACTGTGTTTCCCAGAAGGTTGTGCTGTTTTTTAATTTAACACATTTAAATCTGCCAAAATATACTACAGTATTTTGAGTTATTTAAGTTATACAGTAAGCATATATTTCTACTTTTAGTGGTTTCTTCTGCTAGTGATGTTTGTTAAATAATTATTAGTTTCTCAAATTCTCCTTTTAAGAATGTATCTTTAATTCACTGTTATGTTGGCACATTGATCACATAGTATGACATTTTCCTCATTATAAATAATTCCCACAAATCCCACTTAAAACTCTTAAGAACAACATCTATTGACAGAACTTACAATTTGATTGCTTTCAGTGTGTTATTATAAATTTTAATATCTATGTATCTTTACTAGTAAGTTCAACTAATTGTCGGCTGACAAACAAGCGGTACATTAGCCGATTCGACAAACCAATTTTCTCTTAAACATTTACAATACCTTGCTTGAAAAGGCATGCAGCCACATTGACTTCGAGTCTACTCAAGTTATCAGATACACTCACAATAGCATCTGATTTATTTTGTTCATCTGTGCCTTTCATAGTTCATAGTACTGTATATGCACATTGCAGCATTTTAAACTTGTAAAAATAAAGGAATTTATCTTAATATAAACACAACTACCCATGCTGGATGGTCCCACATATGCTACTTAAGTGTGTTGACCAGACCACACACTAGAAGGTGAAGGGACGACGACGTTTCGGTCCGTCCTGGACCATTCTCACAATCGACTTGAGAATGGTCCAGGACGGACCAAAATGTCGTCATCTCTTCACCTTCTAGTGTGTGGTCTGGTCAACATACTTTAGTCACATTATTGTGACTCATCGCCTGCATATGCTACTAAAGTCTTACTTGCAAACTTTTCTTAGGGTAAAAAATGATTGATTCAGATAATTCTTGCATATTAGCATTATGTATAATGTATCGTGAGGCTGATAACTTTACAAGACTCATACTAAATAACATCTAAAAGTACCTCAGGCCAAGTTTACTGATTTCACTTTTTTTTTAGACTTGCAATGAGCCTTCTGATAATAATTGTCCAACTTTTGCACATTTAGACTGGTACTGTGAATGTTTTTCTGTGCTTTGTTAATGTTTTAGTCTTTTGTAATCTGATCATGAGTGATGATAAATAATATAAATAATCATTAATCTGGTTTTACGATCACCAGTCATGTAAGCTAGGCCTGTGTCATGTATAGTTAATCTTTTTCTTGTCATAAAATCATTGCACATTCTATTTAGTACACATTCTTTACAACAAAACCTTATAAAATGTGTAATGCATAGATCACAGAATTATCCAATGCTTCTTTATTTAATGCATGAAAATCATCTGCCTATTGAATTCTTTATTACTAAAAAATACATTTTATTCTAAGAAATAATTCATGATTGTGACAAATTCAAATTAGACAATAAGTTACATATTTCTCATTCATTACTGTTTGGTTTACTCCTCCCTTTGAATAAATTATGTTGCAATATCTGAGTTTGTAGGTACTAACTCACAAGGTTAAAAATACATCAATTTGTGAGCACTTGAAACATAGGATGTAGACCTTTGTTGAACATGTATACCTTAAGGAAATAGATTCTATATTAAGCACGCCATCACCCACAACAAGTTGGTTGAGCGCATTCCTGTAGAGCTTTACAAAACAGCAGAATGATAAACATAAACATTATTGGCTTTATAAGTTAAGTCAGCATAACCTGATTCATATGTGAAGATGTTAGGGGGCCTGTTTCAGTTTTCAGTAACACCTAAAATATTGTACATATCTGTAAGTACTCCTGAAGAATGGAGATGGAGGCCTGCCTTAACATCTTCTCCCTTACCATCTGTATAACTCTTCTCCATAACACACACATGCGGTGATGCAGTAGATGCGTTCTTCCTCCTACTCTTAAACTTAACACTCGGTGATGTATGTCAACACGAGCTTCAACGCTTACTGTGTAGACCAGTCTCAGCTGCTTGATCCTTGCTCTTAGTGTAGTAGATGCTGATAATTACAGGGTCATGATAATTCATGGTCATTACTTGAATCAGGGTCATTATTTGTTTGTTGTAATGTGTGGTAATTGCTAAACCATGTTTATCATGTATCTGTTATTATCACTTTGCTAGTAAGATTATATGTGATCCATGAAAATTGTTGGTCCAATACATTTTCGGGGTCATAATAATTGCTTATAGAGCACACTTAATAGTCACTGTATGTGTTGATCACTGGATTATCAATATTAATGTTAGCTACTGGTTT